TTTTATTTTTTTACTCTTGAAACTCTCTCTCTCTCTCTCTCTCTCTCTCTCTCTCTCTCTCTCTCTCTCTCTCTCTCTCTCTCTCTCTCTCTCTCTCTCTCTCTCTCTGTGGCGATGTCTTCGATGCAGAAACGTGGTAAGCCAATCTTGTATCGCTCAACCTTTCTCTCTCTCTCTCTCTCGGTCTTCTTCTTCGTCGTGGTCTTCTCTGCAGGTGTGCGTGGCGGTTTCTCCAACCTCCAGGTCCGCTATGGCGGACTTCTTCTCTCAGCGACCACCTCAGCTATGGCACATCACCTCCCTGCGACACACAACGCTACGCATGGAATAGTGGGTACCAGCTCTGATACCAATGCAATCAGACTCGCTTTCATTCACACTTTACATGCATGCAAACAGTAGCACAGCAAACTGGCGACATGCGCCCACTCAAATCTCAGAGATATGGCAACCCAGATACGATTTCACTTCAACTGGCTATGGTGACGTAGCGCCCACACAACTCTCTGTTCGCATACACCGGATCACCCTGGATATCCCACACGAGGTACTCTGTTCACTCGCACACACACACACACACACTGAACTCCAACTACAGCTATGGCGGTTATGGCCGCTACTACCCTATCGCTATGGCTAACTCCTTCTCTCTCGCCCTCTTTTTCCTCGGGCTCACTGCAGACCTCCTTGCTCAAGTCGTTGTGGCAGCGCTTCCGCATGGCTCACGCAGGAATGAATGAATGCCTGGGCGCTGCCTCTTGATTTATACTTTTGCAGCTCGTTGGTCTGGCCGTTTCCCATGCCCGAAGTGCACACAGTCCCATGCGGTACTTGCTTGACTGGACCAGGACTGACTGGGGACTGGGACTGCTGACTCAGCACGGGTAGACTCCACCACTTGACCACCTGCCCCGCCACTTGCCCACTTGCCTCAGTCTAAACGTGGGCAACTTCGAAAGGCCACTACTGGGACCTTCCGGAAGGCCGTAGACTTGGCCTTTCGTGAATGTAGCAGCTACGACTTTGACCCTTCTGGACTGTAGCAGCTACAACCTTGACCTTTCGGGAAAGCTACAGCTACGACTTCTAGACCTGACTAAGACTCCTACTCAACAGGTCTACAGATCAAACCCCTGCGACCTCAGAACCCTACCACAGTCTACCACTGTTACAAATACACAGGTCACGGGTTCAACTCTAAGGGCCGACACAGATACTGTACATAGGTAAGGTGGGAACTAGGGATCGAGCCTAGGGATCTGCATCAGCTACTGCGAATTGGTGAATATCGTTTCATGCCGGGTATTCGAGGCCGAGCAGAAGAAGACAAAAGGTTGCATTTTTAGGGGCCCAGTAGTTCTAAGCTAGGTCTAGGCGGGTACCAGTCCAACTAGTTTGAGTCTAGGGCCTGTACGGGCAATATCAGAGTCTGCAATGACGTTTCCCTCCGAAAGGGAGGAGGTACCGGTTGCTTGGAGGTCGCGCGGCCTAGGAAGTCACCGCCCAAGAGACAAGTAGGCCGTTGTATCTCTAGGAGGAGCAAAGTGCTCCTCCTCAGTCTTCGGTGTGCAAATTTGGCGACACACTGCTTGGAGCGTTGGCTGGAGGAGCGCTGGGCATTACAGCGCTGCTAGGAGGAAGGAGACCGGGAGCTCCCACCTCGGCTATGGTGGAGCTCTACCCGTAGGAAGAGGAGGAAGAAGAAGGCTAGGAGGGGGCGTGGTGAGGTACCGACCTGGCTATGGTGGGCACCATATTCATCATCCTGTTAGGCTTTGCATCTTGAAGGCCCCTGTTGGGGTTGCGCCGCACCAAGAAGGCTTCAAGGCGGGGTCAGGCATGGCGGCCTGAACAGCAGCGAGCATAGCTGCTTTGTGTTGTCCTTTGCACATCAGGGCGAGGCGCTAGTAGTCATCCATAGACTTGGCCTACATGAAGAGCGAGAAGAAGGGTGTGTGTGTGTGACGAATCCAAGACTCGAACACACTGTCAACGGCTTAGCAGGCAGACACCTAACCATAAGGCTAAGTGGGCTGGGGTGAAAGTGAAGCCCCAGGACTCAAACCTGAATACCTCACCCCACCCCAGCACGGAATCCCACAACGGAGATCCCGCGACCCGGTGTACCCAACCACACTTCCACTCCACTTACGCAGCCACACTTCCGTAGTNACCCCACCCCAGCACGGAATCCCACAACGGAGATCCCGCGACCCGGTGTACCCAACCACACTTCCACTCCACTTACGCAGCCACACTTCCGTAGTGGCCATGGCTATGGTGGACCTCATGTCGTGCCTGCAGTAGAAGAGGGATTCAGACATTGATTCTGGTTCAGCCATTCAACATTATCATTATTATTTATTGTTTGAATACGAGGGGAGGAGAAAAGGAGGAGGAGAGTGGGTGGCGAAGAAGAAGTGAATTATCATTGGTCTGTGCTGGTGTACATCTTCTTCCACCTCTTTCTTTCATCTTCTTCTTCTTCTCTCTCCTCTCAAGTTCATTCATTTCTTTTTGCAATTGGACCGCATTGTACTTTCTCATGACTGTGTACTTCGAAATTGACCAGGATCGTAACACTAGCTGTTTGCTATGGTTTTCTCCGGTCCGATATATGCCATGACTTCGCTAGCAGCTTGCTACGGTTTTCTCCGGTCAGGTTGAATCGCAGTGGTCGGGGCCGTCACTACACGGCCATGCTGTGCCTCTAGTGCCAGCAGCATGTCTGGAATGTATTTTCTGGCTGTAACTCAGCTCTCACCCACCCCAGCTTATGATGGACCTGTGACTCACCCCTCACCCACCCCAGCTTCTGAAGAATTTTCCATCTGGGTTGGGCGAGGGGTGAGTGATAGTCTGCTTTGATTTCCGTCAGAGATACCTTGAGGGCAGTGGTTGGTGGTCCCCACCACCTCAGGGTATCAGTTGTCTGGCAGTCGTTGATGCTTAACCACAAACGGGGTTAAGGTGGACTACTGGCTTTGCGCCCGGGGTGTGAGTGGTGCGGGCAATGACCGCACACACACACACACACACACACACACACACACACACACACACACACACAAAAAAA